GGGGAATTGACAAGCAGGCCTTTCATTGAGTTTTTTGGAGAGCAGGTCTCTGGTAAATGCTTCATGGAGGTTTGTGTTAACAGTTCTGAAACAACTTTACATGTAAACAAGATCAAACAAGCAAGTAAATAACTGGGAGATAATAAGAGTCAGGTTTCTAACTGTTGGTAAAAATAAATTATAAACAAGTCTACGTCAGACTTGCCTTGGTGCTAAACCAGCCCGGGTGGCATCAGGCTCTGTGCTGTTCCTGGAAGCCCCAGTCACTAGGCCAGCACCTGTGGACCTTGCCTCCAGGCCCCCCAAGCAGAGGCAGCCCCTAGGCTCACCTGGTGTGCCCAGATAGCTCCCATGGCTAGGCCAGTGCACTCCACCGAGCCTCCAGGCCCATCCTATTTTTACAAGATTTAACCAGTCGTCCACAATGTGGTCAGACAGTGGTGCACCACCACCAAAAGCCAATCGAGAACATGGACGCCTTCTTTCTCTACAATAACGTCACGGGCTGCTTCACATCCTCTTACTGTTGTGGTAACACCGTTCTTCTTAAGTTCCCCTATGAATTTGTGTAAGGTCGCCTTGCTTGGACTGGTGTCATAAGGAATCTCGTGTTCCAGTACGTGACTTCCACAGGAGCAGGGCAGTTCATCTGAGCCTTGTTAATTAGTTTAAAAAAAAAATACTCAATGAAGGATTTTTTAAAACCTTCTGAATACAGAAATGATGCAAAGTAACTGAAGTCTACTTCAACAGACTCCTCTAGATATCCCCAGAGCTTTGAGTCTGAAGTTGGGAGGAATGGGGAATGAGAAGAACTACCAACAGGAAGCAGCAATTCTTTAATCCAGGAATACTCAGGCCATAGAAAGGAAGGTACCAAGGCCTACTCTGCCCAGGTCAGAACTCTTAAAGGTGCCCTGTGGATTTCAATTCAATGTTTCTGTGTCCAGGTCAACACAACATGGGGGCTTCTTGGTGGAGTAGAAATGAATTTCTGCGGTTCACGTGTCTGCATAGAGGTAGCGCTGTGCCTGCGGGACTCTCCACTCTTCTGAAACTCCAGAAACATGTGACCAAGAGCACCACAGAGTGAGGAATAGCCTACTCCTACAGCAGGTCCCAAAGGCAGAGCAGTGTGGCTGCAGAGAGCAGGTGGGGGTGGTCATCTTGGGTGGTAGCAATGCAGGTGGTATCGATGTCACCAGACTACCATGCAGTGAATAGAATCCTTGAATCAACATGTTAAGGGGCAACCTTACCCAGCAAAACCAATTCAGAATGATTTCAGAAATCAGAAGTTTAATGCACTATGACTTAGAGTCTGGCTTCCCCATTTTACCACCCCTCTCTGAAGATTTTCAAGAAGAGAATTCTTCCCAAAACAGTGGATATGTTAACTGATGGGTATTCTTTTAAAAATATTTTTTTTGGTTGTAGATAGATCCAATACTTTTATTTTATTTATTTATTTTTATGTGATGCTGAGGATCAAACCCAGTGCCTCACACATGCTAGGCAAGCACTCTGCCACTGAGCCACCACCCCAGATCAGATGGGTATACTTTTTAAAAATGTAACTTTACAGTTTCAGAGTTAGGAACAACTTCATCTGGAGAGAAGATTGTTCTTGAATGCTACGTGAAGTATATATTCTAATGGTATTTTGTCTATACACTTTTCTTTTTACCATTATTTTTATTTGTTCTCCTTAGCTGTACATGACAGCAGAATGCATTTCAATTCATTGTACACAAATGGAGCACAACATTTCAATTCTTTGGTTATTCAGAAACGTGTGACCAAGAACGTCATTCATTCAATCAATCATATATGTACCTGGGGTAGTGATGTCCATCTCTTTCCACCATCTTTCCTACCCGATAACCTCTCACCACCCTCCCCTTTGCCCAATCCAAAGTTCCTCCATTCTTCCTATGCCCCATCCCCATCATAGATCAGCATCCACTAATCAGAGAAAATATTTGGCCTTTAGTTTTTGGGGATTGGCTAACTTCACTTAGCATAATATTCTACAACTCCATCCATTTTTCCGCAAATGCCATAATTTTATTCTCGTTTAATGCTAAGTAATAGTCCATTGTGTATATACCACAGTTTTTTTTATCCATTCATCTATTGATGGGCATCTAGGTTGATTCCACAGTTTAGCTATTGTGAATTCAGCTGCTATAGTATGCTGATTTTAAGTTCTTTGGGTGTAGACCGAGGAGTGGGATAGCTGGGTCAAGTGGTTCCGTTTCAAGTTTTCTGTGGAATCTCCATACTGCTTTCCAAAGTGGTTGTACCAATTTGCAGTCCCACCAGCAATATATGAGTGTATCTTTTTTCCCACATCCTCACCAACACTTATTATTGCTTGTATTCTTGGTAACTGCCATTCTGACTGTGGCGAAATGGAATCTTAGAGTAGTTTTGATTTGCATTTCTCTAATTACTAAAGATGTTGAACAGTTTTTTATATATTTGTTGATTGCTTATATATCTTCTTCTCACAGTGTCTGTTCAGTTCCTTAGTTCATAATTGATTGGGTAGTTTGTTTTTTTTTTTGGTATCATCTTTTCGGTTCTTTATATATCCTGGAGATTAGTGCTGTATCTGATGTGTGTGGTAAAAATTTGCTCCTACACTGTAGGCTCTCTCTTCACCTCAATGATTGTTTCTTTTGCTGAGAAGAAGCTTTTTAGTTTGAATCCATCCCATTTATTTATTTATTTAGTTTTGAGAGAGAGAGAGAATTTTTTAATATTTATTTTTCAGTTTTTGGTGGACACAACATCTTTATTTTATTTTTATGTGGTGCTGAGGATTGAACCCAGCACCCGTGCATGCCAGGAGAGCGCATTACCACTTGAGCCACATACCCAGCCCTAGAGGTTTAATCTCATTGTGTTCCATATGGATTTCCCCTTTTCCCAGCACCATTTGTTGAAGAGGCTATCCTTTCTCCAATGTATGCTTTTGTCTGATGCACTTTTCTCAGTCGTTGGTACTGTGTTCAAGACTAAACCCATCCCTTGCATTTCAAATGACTTACTGTTGTGCATGAATTAGGCAGCCTGGGTTTGGAAGGAGGCAGACTGCTACCAGAGGTAGGAGTAGGACACACCTTGCTGGTGATGGTGTTGGTACCCATCTGTGAATTTCAGGTGCAGGTGTGTGAGGAGAAGAAGATCCTTCTAGAATCTTTTCATTTAATCACATAGAGAAAGGAGCAGATCTGGGGCACAGGAAAACAAAAACGCAAAGCCGTGGCAACCTTGGTCTCCAACAGACCCCTCTGGCTCTTCTGCAGGCTGGAACTTGACATCTAGAGACCAGAGCCTGGCAGACTCCCATTGGCTTCCTCCTCTGCCTCCACGAGATTCTGGTCTCCAGGAGTCCTACGTCCTCGCTCCCATGCTCTACTTAACCTGGGGACACACAGATGCTTCCACCTGAGGCAGAGCACAGCCATGACCAGGAAGGAGTGACTCCTTCCACAACCAGCACCTGGGTACAGCCTCTGGTCTGGGGCACTGAGGGGTGTCCCGAGGGCTGCCTCCCATACTAGTCAGGTCCATCTCCCTGGTCCTGAGCCAGTGAGAGGGAATGGTCAGCCTAGCACTTCCCTCACCCCTTGGCCTGGAAAGGTGCTTGGAAAGTGAGGCTGTGGGAGGGAGACAAAGCAGGTCTTACTGCCCAGCAACTTCAGTGACGTCTGTCTTGGTGGTTGGTCATGCATCTTTGCTGAGGTCCCCTTGTCCAAGAGCAGCCCTTGTCAGAGGTGGAGATGAGCCTGAAATACCTGGAGCCCCGTGAGCTTATGAGGCAGGTCAGGGGCTCTGGTCGGGGGGAGTTTTCCCCCTCTGCCCCTCTACTTGGAGCAGCCCAGCAACCAGCACTGGGCTGGAGCCTCGGGTGGCCCAGCTGCCCTGGGCAGGGCTGGCCTGCCTGCCTGAGGTCTCTTCACATCTGAGGCCATGCCCCAGGTGGCTGCATGTCACCCAGCCCTGGATCCAGCCCCAGGATCCTTCACAGGAACTGTGACTTCACCCAGGAGCAGAGACTGTCCCCCAGGGATGGATTTCCACTAACAGTAGGATCCAGGCAGGAGCCCTGGACACCTGTGCCAGCTAACCTTGAACCTCAGCATGGACCACCTCTCCCACCACCTTGGGTTCCTCTGGATCAAAAGAGAACAAGAGCACACAGGAAGGGGTTTGGGGTCAGTAAGGAATATTCAGGAAGCAGAGGGCCTGGAGCCTCAGATCCCAGCCTGAGGTCGGGCTCCGTCACAGGAGTGGCCGTGTAGGTGGGGGCGGGTACTGTGAGGAGAGGTTGCTGCAGGCCCTCCTGTCTCAGAGGACGCGTGGAAGTGAGCAGAAAGGCCGTCCAGACCAGACGTCCTCTCTAGGCACCGCGTAGCCCCTCAGTCTCTGAGTCTCCGGGACTCACTGTCCTCATTGGAAAGAAACCCTGATCTGAACTTGAGAAGGAGATGGGGGAAGTGGGGCCGGGATGGGCCAGGAAAGCCGCTTGGGGCCCTCCCAGGTCCAGGCTCTCCCTCCACCTCTGATCTTCACCAGGTCCTCGGCTCCAGGTGAGCCGTGTTCTCCTTAGCACTGGGGGAGCTGCACGTGAGCAGTCTGCCCACCGGGAGAAGGGGTTCAGTGGGCAGAGCAGCAGGAGCGGAGCCTCCTGGGCCCAGTGGGGTGTGTGGCAAAGGGACAGAGCAGAGAGCACGACCAGGAGGAGAGTGGAGCCCTGGGCCAGGGGAGGCGGGGTGCTGCCGGTCGCCTGGGGTTCTGGGTGCACACCGCTGTGGGAGTAAGAGGCCAGGTGCCGTTCCAGTTTATTTGACAGGGACCAGGGGTTCAGACCTGGGGAGGTGGCTCTGTGGTTGATGGTCTTGTGCTGGGATTAGAGGTCCTCAGGCTTCGGGGGACTCAGTCTCTGCGAGGAGGGATGGGGGGGCAGGAAGCAAGCCCCCCGCCCCTGCTCACAGGATGCTCAGGCAAACGCTCCCACAGAAGGTCAAGCAGCACATGCTGTTTACTTGACACTTTTGGAAATAGGAACAGCGGAGGCTGCAGCGCTCAGCACTGGGCCACTGCTTACAGGCCGCGGCTTCCGGAGTCCACGGGGACGCTGAAAAGAAACAGGAGCCGCTGGGTGCGGGCAGCTGCCTAGAGAGCCTCCTTCTCCAGCTTCAACTCTCCAGGAATCTGAGACCCAGCACCCGTCCACCACGCTCCTGCACTTTCCTGGGAACTCCCCTGTGCCCTCACCAGACCCTGGGAATCAGCAGTGTCCTAAATCCTCACCCTTCCCCGACACCCCACCTCCCCTGAAGACATCAGTGGCTGGTCGGCCTGGGTCTCTGCACACACATCCACCAAAGACCTGTCCCCCACAGACACGGCCGTGGTGGAGTCACCCCCATGGAGTCTACACTCTGGCCCTGGGACCTCAGAGAAGCCTAGACATCTCCCAAGCCTCCCCACCCTGCAGGATTTGCAGATGCAGAGGGGAAGCTGAGCCTGCCTGTTGCCCCTCTCTCCCCTCTTCAGGGTCATTCTCCAGCACCTGCTCCTCCAGTGGCTCGCCTGACACTGCCACCCTTCTGTTCCCTCGGATGGAAACTTCACCTTGGCTCTGTCTTCCTATCTTCCCACCCAGTGTCTTTCTCTCCACACCTACACCGTTTCTCCACCACCTCCAGCCCCTGAGTACCTCTGCGTGTCCCCACAGATGTGCACAGGTCAAAGAATCACGTCCTGTTGGCCCCTTAGACTTTCCCCTCAGCATGTACCATTTGTTCCTGATCTTTGGAATGGAGGGGGAAGGAGAGGTGCAGGGCCTTCCTCCACCATCACTATTCCCAGGTTGGGTCACGGGCTGCAGTCCATGCTGGGTGTGCAGAGAGGTACCGTGCCCGGGTCCTCCAAGATGGGTCCCTCTTGTCCCTCCCGTGTACCCACACACCGTCACCTACCTGGGGCCCACTTACGTCCACGGTACCCTCCCTGGGCCTCCAGCGGCAGCAGCAGCACACAGAGGAGCAGGGGGGGCCTCAGAGCCGGGGGTGGCATGACTCTGACCAGAGCCATGAGTCCGAGTCCAGCCAGGATGGCACAGCCTTCCCCAGGGAGCTGTGAGGAGAAGGATCCCCAGGACAGACTGACTCAGCTCCTGGCTGTCTCTGCTGGCCAAGCCAGGAGAGCGCAAGGCGTCCTGTCCCCCTCTTGTCTGCCCCTCGCCCTGTCCTATTGTGTGCAGCTGGGCTCCTGCAGGATGACGCCTCCTCTCTAATAATACACGGCTGAGGCAAAACCAAACATTTTCTCTTTTGTGATACCCATGTTTTGGAACACACTGCTGTAGGGCACTGGAGATCCAGTTCAAAGGAAGCTCTTGGTCCCTGCCTAGCTATTATCATTGGCCCCAGAGGCTAACTCCGTGGGGACATCCATGTGTAGAAGAACACTAGGTTGCTGATTCATCTCTTTAACAAACTCCCAAGGCCTTGGACAAGTCCTGTCTCTGACTCACAAAAGCAATGAAAGACTCAAATGAAAGTATTCACTGAAATGATGCTTTTTAAATTCCTATGCACAGGACAATGCCCTTGCTGCTATGTACTGCAGCATGGATCAGATTCTATTCCTGGTTCTATAAGATCATAACATAGCAGAAGAAAAAGGAGATTAAATAAACACAATGCAACATGACAAGGACTACAGATGGAGAGAAGAAGGTATCATGGAAGCCCAGCAACTGGGAGGAATCATTGAAGAATTCCCAAAAGAATTATCCTTTAATGTGAAACCTTAGGGAGGAGTAGAAGGCAATCTTCATCTTTCAATAACAACATTTTAGAGAGTCGGCAGAAGGAGATGTATAGGAGCAGAGTTTTTATTATTCATATTTAAAATGTATCCATTTCAGAGCACAAAATGACAATTCGTTCTCTCATGCCCATTAAGAGATGTTCCTCATATACATCAACAGAGATGGGGGTAAGCATTTTGTTCTTTACGGACTATTACATTATGTCAGTACTAGTACTAGATCTGATTTTACATTCTAAGTTGATCGATATGTAGACAATCTTTATTAGAGCTTTATAGTTATACATGATCATTGGGTTCATTCCAACAAAATCATACATCATGAAATTCGACTTCAGTTCACAAGCCTCTCTTTTCCCCCTGTCACCCCCCCTCGCGTTTCCCCACCCTAATCTCCTTCCTCTGCTCTTCTAGACTTCCTTTCAGGATCAGACTGTTTATATTCTTTTGAAGCTAAATTGGCATGAGTTCAAACTAGATTCAAGTTTGAGAAGGTAATTGTAATCCAAATAGTAACTGCTAAAAAATTTACTTTAAAATTTACAAAAAGAGAAATAAAGAGGAAGTCAAAATAATACACTGGAAAGAAAAGTCAAATAGACATAAAAAAGGCAGTATTGGATCCATTAAGGGATAAAAAAAGAGCAACAATAAATAGTCAAAGCTAAATCCTTCCTTATAGTAATCACTTTAAATGTAAATGAATTAAACTCACCAATTAAAACACAGAGGTCAACAGAATGGATTTTAAACATGAATCAACTATATGCTGTCTAAAAGAAATTTACTTTAGCTCCAAAGACAAATAAGTTGAAAAATCAAAGTATGGAAAAATGTATTCTACACAAAGGATAACAAAAAAAGCAGCTATTCTAATATTGGGAAAAATATACATTAATTTGGAGAATTAATGTGGAATGTGTTACAAGAGAAAAAAAGGTGATGTGAAAAAAGATTGATAAAAAACCAATTCATCCACAGACATAACATTATAAATATAATACATGCCAAACTTGAACACATATGAAGTCAACTGCTATCTATCCCCAAAGGTCTATGTGGTAAATACTTGGTCCCCAGTATGGTGCTATTGGGGCCTGTATACTACCAAAATCAACATACACTTTCAATGCAATCCCCATCAAAATGGGGTCCATCACAGGTACGGGCACTGACTTCCTCAACAAGACCCTTAAAGCTCAAGATATAGACCAAGTATATATAAGTAGGATGCCATCAAATTATAAGGTTTCTACACATAAAAGGAAGTGACTAAGAGAGTGAAGAAAGAGCCTGCAGAATGAGAAAAAATATTTGCCAGCCGCCCCTCTGACAGGGGATTAATATCCAGAATATATAAAGAACCCAAAAAACCCAAATAACCCAATCAATAAATATGCCAAAGAACTAAACAGAAATTTCTCAAAAAGAAGAAACAGAACCAGGCACAGTGGCACATACCTGCAATCCCAATGATTTGGGAGGCTGAGGCAGGAGGATTGCATTTCAAGTCAGCCTCAACAACTAAGTGTGGCCCTACCAACTTAGTGAGACCTTGTCACAAAATAAAAGGGCTGGGGATGGAGCTCATTAGTAAAGCACCTCTGGGTTCAATCCCTAGTACAAAAAAATGAAGGAGGAGGAGGAGGAGAAGCAAAAAAATGAAGAAGAAGGAGAAGGAGGAGGAGGAGAAGGACAAAGAGGAGGAAGAGGAGAAATACAAATGGCCAACCAGCATATGAGAACATGTTTAACATCTCTAGCAGTCAGGGAAGTGCAAATCAAAACTACACTAAGATTTCACCTCACCTCAGTTCAAATGGCAAATATCAAGGACATGAACAATAATAAATGCTGGTGAGGATATGGGGAAAGTATACTTATACATTGTTGGTGGGACTGCAAATTAGTAGAACCAGTATGGAAAACAGTGTGGAGACTCCTTAGAAACCTGGGAATGGAACCACCATGTGACCCAGTTATCCCACTCCTTGGTATTTTTCCAAAAGAATTAAAATCAGCATATTATAGTTATACAGCCACTTCAATGTTTATAGCAGCACAATTCACAATAGCCAAGTTATGGAATCAACCCAGATGCCCATCAATAGATGAGTGGATCAAGAAACTGTGGTCTATACACACAATGGAGTTTTACTCAGCCATAAAGAAGAATGAAATGATGATATCTGTTCATAAATGGATGGAAATGGAGAAGATCAAGCTAAGTGAACTAAGCCAGACTCAGAAAATTAAGAATCGAATGTTTACCTCTCACATGTGGAAGATACAGCAAAATAAGGGGGAAAAGGTGGCAGAGGAAGAGATTGGATACCATAAAAAAATAAGGTGGATCAGTAAAGCGAAAGGAGGAGAATGAGAGGGAAGGAGGAAAGAAGGAAAGGGGTGGAAATATGGAATGAATGAACATAGTGCATTATATCCACATACAAGTGTCCCAGAAAGAATCTCACCTGCACGTACACGTAGGAAAGCCAATCAAAAATAAATAAATAAACAGAGGAGTGGAAGGAGAAGAGAGAATGGGGGAGGGAGGAGAGAAGGTAAGGGGAATGGGAATTGAAATAAAATTCCTTGCAGATATTATTTTGTCAAAATGAACCAAAAGATTATGTATAAGTATTTTTTAAAAGGTGGAGCCTATAAATTCAAAAATACTCCAATAAATAGAAAGACATCCCATAATCTAGATTGGAAGATTTGAAATTATTAAGATGGCAATACAATGCAATGTCATCCTAATCAAAATACTGAATTCTTTCTTTCTTTCTTTTTCTCTCTCTCTCTCTCTTTCTTTCTTTCTTTCAGAAATGGAAAAGTTCATCTTCAGATTAATGTAGACCTGCAAGAGGCCCCAAATAGCCAAAACAATCTTGGAAAAGGACAAAGTTTCAGGACTCCTACTTCCTGATTTCAAAACTTCCGACCAAGATTCAGTAATCAGAACAGTACGGTTCTGACATAAGAGCAGACATACAGACTGACAGAACAAAATTGAGAGTCCTGAAATAAACCCGTACCGCTGTAGCCACTTGATTTCCACAGGGCGATAAGACCCTTCAATGGAGAAAACAGTCGCTTTATCTAATGGTGCTGGGACAATAAATATTCACATGCAAAGAAATGAAACTGGACCCACCTCCTACCATATGCAAAAATTAACTCAAAATGAACCAATGATTTAAATATAGGAACTGTGGAATACGTAGAAGAAAAACATCAATTGATCTTCATTATCTTGTATTGAGCAATGAGTGGATCATTAGAAATTATACAAGTGGGTAAGGTGATGCACACCTGTGATCCCAGCAACCTAGGAGGCTAACGCAGGAGGATCACAAGTTCAAGGTCAGTTGGGCAATTTAGTAAATCCTTCAACAACTTAGCCTGACCCTGTCTCAAAATAAAAAGAACTGGGGATATAGCTCAGTGGTCAAGCATCCCTGGGTTCAATCCTCAGTACCCAAAAATAAATAAATAAAGGAATAGGAAAAGAGGGAGGGAAGAGGAGAGGGAAAGAGAAAATACTGTAGATTAAAGTGGAACAAATTATATTCCATGTATGTATGACTATGTCAAAATAAACCCCAATGTTATATATGACCATAATGCACTAATAAAAATATTTTTAAAGAAAAATAAATAAAAATTTAAAAATAAATGGTGCCAAAAACAGCAACAAAAGAAAAAATCGATAAACTGAACTTCGCTAAAGTTAAAATCTTTTTCCGATAACTCTTAATAACATGACTACATTAGGTAAATTACATATTTTGAGATATTTGTAGCCTTTTGAGTCTGTGGTCACCAGGTCAGTCTTTATGCAAACATAATGAAGGAAAGAAAACTGGGAGAAAAAAGTTTAAAATTTTTGTATATCAGAATGACTTGTAATAATACTGAAAAATCATATATCTCATAAGGGTATCTGTAATAGCTAAAGAACTCTTTCAATTTAAGAATAAGAAAACTCAATCACCAAATGGGCAGAAGATTCAAATAGAAATTTCTCCAAAGATATTTTTTTAAAAGGCCAGCAAACACAGGAAAATATGCACAACATCTGTTATAGTTTGGATGGGAGGTGTCCCCCAAAAGCTCATGTGTGAGAAAAGGCAAGAAAATTTAGAGGAGAAATGATTGGGTTACGGGAGCCTTAATCCACTCTTCGAGTTAATCCCCTGATGGAGATTAACTAAGTGGTAACTGAAGGTGGGTAAGGTGTGGCTGGAAGAGGCGGGCATTGGGAAGTGGCTTTGGAACACATTTTTTTGTATCTGGCAAGTAGAGTCTCTCTCTGCTTTTTGATCATCATGTGAACCACGTTCCTGTGCCACACTCTTCTGCCATGATGTTCTGCCTCTCCTTGAGCCCCCAGGAGTGGAGCTCGCCTTCTATGGACTGGGACCTCTGAAACCGTGAGCCCTCTAAATAAACTTTTCCTCTCCTAAAATTGTTCTTCTCAGGTCATTAAGTCACAGTAGCAAAAAAGCTGACTAAAACAACATCATTAGTTATGAGAGAAGAGCAAGCAAACCACAGTGAGATGCCATTTAGATGACTACAATTTTTTCAAAAAGAAAAAAGTGTGTAGGGAAATTGGAAGTCTTGTGAATTTCTGAAAGAAATTTTAAGTGATTCAGCTGATTTGAAAGGCTTGGAATCCTCAAAAAGTTGAACATTAAATTAACTGATGATCCAAGTTTGCTGGATATTTACCCAAAAGGATTTAAAACAAGTACTCAAAACAATACGTGTACATAAATGTTAATAACTGCTCTATTTGCAATCAGCAAAGGGTGGAAATAGCTGAAATGTCTATAAATAGATGAGCGGATAAGCAAATCGTAAGACACATATACAGTGGAATGTTATTTAGCCATAAAACTGTACCGATTGTGGTACATGGTAAATGAACCTCAAAGACTACAGGAATAAGACTTCTCATTTGTTTTGGCAAACACTCAAAAGCATGATGATGCATTCTATCAGTGAGGCCGTGGGAAACATGCTTCCACTGTTAGTGGCGTAACAATGGTCCACTTGATGCTTTGAATACAGCCCTTGCTTCTCTAAAATTGACATCTTTTTTCCTCTTCCCGACCTGCTCCTCCTGACGTGCTCCTCCCTGATCCTCTCCTCTTGATCTTCTCTTCCCTTATCTTCTCCTTCCTAATCTCTCCTCCCTGATCTTGGGAAACAGAGCGCATGGGAATGTACCTTTGAATCACCATTTTCCCCCTGATGGGCAGAATCACAGACTCTGGGAGAGGAGTCCCCTGTGTTTCTCCTTTGGCAGCAAAGCAATAAAACTTCTTTTTCCTTTTTCTCAAAACTGGGTCCTCATTTATTGGATTGGCATCAGGAACAAGGATGAAGCTTTTGGTGACAGTAGCAGTACAAAATGGTGCAACCTTAATGGAGTGGAATTTGGCAATATCTAATAAAACTATATATGCATTTCCCCTATCTTTTTCTTTTCCAGTTTTTTTGCCCCCAGCACTAAAGATTGAACCTAGAGCCTCCCACATCTAGTCAAGTGCTTTACTGCTGAGCCCTTCTTATTTTACTTTGAGATAGGGTCTTGCCAAATTGTCCAGGTTGGCCTCAAATTTGTGATCCTCTTTCCTCAGGCTCCTGAGTAGCTGGGATTGCCAGTGTGTACCACTGCACCCAATTTATGCCTTTATCCTTTTAACCAACAATCACACTTAAAATTCCAACCGATGCCATACTTCCGACATCGCAGAAAACATACCCATGCTTTTTCATTGCAGGTTATTTGTACTAGCAAAATCTTAGAAAGGACACACATGTCCATAGAATAGAGACTGGCTAGACGACACACACAAAGGAGAAATTTAAGAAGCTTCCATTTTAAATCGGGTATTAGATTTCTATTCAACAATATACTAGGGAGCCTGCCCAGCTCAAGACACAATAGAAATGGTGTAAAGCTTTGACGAGGAAAAGGACAACCGTTATTATCTATAGATGATGAGCTCTGAAAAGAAGACACGGGAAACTTAGGATGAACAATGGGAGAATACAGCCAGCTCAGACACGGAAGCCGTTTCTCCTCCTCCAACATCATACAAAAGGAAAAAACCAAAAAGTTATGATACTCTTCACAATTTCATTTTTAAAATGTAAGCCTCTGGGAATAAATGTAACAAAGACATGTAAGATCTCCCCGGGGAAAACTTATTTTAGACACATTTTGAAGTTGTAAACAAGACTTCCATGGTAGAACATGCACTTGGCATGTCCGAGGCCCTGGGCTCCATCCACAGCATCATCAGAAAAAAACACCCTGTGTAGATGGAGACCTACCGAGGCGAAGATGATGGGCTGGAGGAGGAGTGGATTTGGAAACACTGCGGGCCCTGTACTGGGTGTGCTTGGGAGGTGCTTGGGTTTCTGCCAGGCCCGCCTTGATTGGAGTATGCAGAAGAAGCCAGGCCCAGGAGGCCTCCCGGGCCGCTTTCTCTCTCTCCTCCTCACAGCAGCACCTGGTCAAAACCAGCTGGGCCAGGACGTACCCACCCATCCTGGTGGCACCATGGCGTCTGTGCTGCCTCTCCAGTTCCTGCTGGTGCTCTGTGTGGCACTGCAGCTGTTGTCTGGGAGTCTCAAGGAGCGCTTTCTGAGTAGGTGAGGGGTTGGGGTCCAGTGGGGGGGAAGCGGCCTCCGCGGAGAGGAGAGGATCTGTGAGCAGACCATCCAGAACATGTCATGAAAAAACAGGGTCGTGTTCAAAGCCCGAGCTTCGTTGTCAACAAGATCTCAGTTTGAACCTCTGCTGTTTGGTGACTGCATGACCCTGGGCCAAGTGTCTGGATTGGCACTGAGATAGTTGGGAGGAAAAACTGAAATAATGTGTGCAGTCAGAGAGCTCTCTCCCTAGACCGTGGTACATGTTCTGTAAGTTTTACTTACTGTGTTATCGGCCTCATCCCCACTATAGCCTTGCTGCCCTGGTTCCTTTCAAGAGGCTTGGTCCTACTTTTCAGGCATTTAAGCAGGCAGGAGAATGAAACGGTACAACTCAAATTGCAATCTACACAGCCTTGGCCTCGGAGCCTGTGTGGGGAGGAAGAAGTCTTTCATTGTATTTCACTTTTTAAAAATCCAGAGGTGGGGCTGGGGTGGGGCTCCGTGGTAGTGCACTTGCCTGGCATGTATGAGGCACGGAGTTAGATTCTCAGCACCACATATAAATAAATAAAATAAAGGTCTATCAAAAACATATATCAAAGGTCTAATCAAAAAACATATATACATATCTATCTTCAGAGGTAGTGCACGATCACCAGGAATCATCATCAACTGGACAGTACAGTCTATCTCAGCCACCATCGCTGTCCAGCTCAACCTAACAAGGGAAGTAATGCCAACCTTGACCTGAACAACAAATGGGAACAGAACTACTATTCTTCCTGAATGCACTCTTCTGTGGGGAAACCTCTTCAGAATGTTTGGGGCTTGGAAAAGGAATGTGTCTGATAGACGTGTTTCAGAGCAGGATAGGTCCTGTTTCAGGAGCTCGGGGCAGACGCGATGCAGGAGGACTGGAGGGGCTAAGCGAGCTGCAAGAGCGTAGGAGTACCCAAGGCCAATTAACTGGGGAATCAAGGGCTAGAATCTGAGGAGAGACGCCAAAGTCTTTAGGGAAGACTGGCACGTGTTGGAGTGAGACTGGAACCAGACACCCAGACAGGAGCAAGACCTGAGGAGAGCAACCTCTCTGAGCTCCCTGGCTCATGGCCTCCTTTCCCACACTGCTCCACTGAACCCCAGGCTCTTCCAAGGGGAGACTGGCTCCAATTTCTTGCACAGCCCCAGTGAGTTGTGTCTGGGAAGTGCCGAGTGAGCGCTGGTGACTGATCTCTGGAACTCGGCTTCCTTCACCCATCTCTAGTGCCAGTTGTTTAAGTGACAGCCCCAACCTCGTTCTTCATTCATCTCTTTCAGGTCATCAAGATGTCCTACAGATCTCCCGTCTAATTGCAGATTTTTTCAGAGCAGTCAGCCAACTAATTGGCAATAGATGCCCTGTCTATGAATTTGGCCCCAAAGAAAGGACAAATCATAGAATACAAAAATGAGGGCCTGGTACAAGTTGGGGAGAGGGGTTAATGGGGCCCAAACTTAATGCCTTAGATTCAGGAACAGAGAGGGACTGTGAGTTGGGGCATTTGGACAGTATCTCTCACTGGAAGTGGGTCTAAGCTTTGAAATGAGATGCGTGGGGGTGTCAACGTGAAGATTATTCTTCTTTAACAGTAGGAAGTAGGGCATCCTGGGCTCTGGGCTCCTAATCAGTAGATAGCAGGGGAAAGAAGATGAATCATGGCACCACATTCTGAAATTCACACCCTTCTCACCATGAAAGAAGTCACTCCCAGAACTCACCTATGAACTGGGTCCTTCCTCTCTGATCCAGTACCTTCAGTTGGTTGTGTGGCCTTTATCCTTTCCCAAAACTGACCTTCCGTTTACTCTTTCTCTACCCAAACAGCCTGTGTTAGGTTGACCCTACAATAAGTATGATGTTAAAGAGAAGATCTATGACTTGCTTAAGACCACACAATGAATAAGTGAAGAAAGGGTACACAATACCTCTTCTTACTCACCTTCCACCTTCTACTCATACCCACGACTAGACCCAACCAGAGTCTATGGGGACTAGGCGTCGGACTTACAGTGGTCGTGAATGACCAGTGGATTCAGGTTTCTGCCAAACTCTGTCTTTGATCAAATATCCAAACCCTGGTTCACCGATCAGAACTCAAGGAAGACAAAACCCGATTCCCTCCCTGGGGACCACACAAGAGAGAATGGGTGGCAAGTTCCCTGGGCTTTCTGAGCTTTGAGTGTTACTTCAGCCTGTGGCTCAGGCCCTTCGCCTACTTATTCTTGTTTCAGAATACATCTTGGAGCCTCCACCCTGCAGATCAGAACCTGAGAACTGTTCCAAATTCTGCACGGTCCAGGAGGATTGCAAGGCCCAAGGACTTAGCTGCTGTTCTGCCTTCTGTGGGACGATCTGTTCACTAAATAGACCTCCGGAACCCTCAGAGTAAGGGAGCTCCCTGATCCTAGAGCTGCCGGCGGGAGCCCGACAGAAGAGTCTCAGCCACTGTACGGTTCTTTGTTTTTTGGTTGTTATTGTTGACATATTACCAACACTCCTTCTCTTTCCAAGATCAAGATTTCCACCAAGTCCTGACTAGAAGAGCCTCCTCCATTCCTGAGCGACCTAACCCTTCCTCCTCACCACTACATCCACGAAATCTCTGACTCTGCTTCTCTGAACACACCCCAAAATGACTACATCCACAGACCTTCCCCTGGCCCAGAATCCACCTTTATCCCCAGACTGCCTGGAACACTATACCCGGGGTCTGTAAGTGTCATCAAAACCCCAAACAAGTTTGGGTCTCTGCTTTTGGCCTGCCCTCCTTTCACCAGACATCATTTAGAAGACCCTGCATTCTGACCCTGGAGGTCCAGCTCCAGAAAGCTGTAGTTAATGGCCCTAAATCTGCGAAAGGGAGAATGCTCTGGGACAGAGGAAGGACATGAAGGTGCGGCTGAGACATCTGGTTTTGAATCTTGCTTTGGGAATATGTCTATCACCTTCAGGAAAATGATTCCTCACTTTTGATCTTTCTTTTTCTTATGAATAAAATGCAGACTCTGTTTTGTTTTGTTTTGTTTTTTCCTGCTAGCAAGACCAGAATGAAGTCTCAAAATCCCACAGTAGGAAATTGACCAAAGAGCTTCTTGAGAGAAGCACAACTGTCTTGTTCTCCTCTGTTTCCCCTGCCCCAAGCGCAATCCCCACCCTTGAGACAAGTTTGGAGCACTCCGGTGTGCACTCAGAGCCAAATAACCAGTCTCTACCACTTCTTAGCTGAGTGACCTTACACAAACTAACCTCTCTATGGGCATTAGCCTCCTCATTTTAAGGACGGAACAATATTAATAAAATTAAATTAAAATAAACAATCCATATAAGCTTTGCTTGGCACATAATAATTGCTCAGTAAATTTTAGTGATCAGATAAGCACTTTTCTCTCAAGAGACTGGCCCTTACAAATAACCTTATACATCTTTCAAGGCTTTGTGATAGAACACCAGAAGCCAAAAAGATGAGTCTTTGTCGTCACCGAGGTTTTTGAGGTTCTGCTTGGCCTATGGCAGGAGAACTCCGCTTTGTGGTCTAGTTTCAATGGTGGAAGTCATAGAAAATAAAAATTAAGTCTCCAAGAATAAACTGCACTGGATATCACTTGAAGATGTTTTTCTTCAGGGACAGAAATGTTAGTGAAGGAACTTTGGAGACCCCATGCCTGACAACTGAGGTATGTTCCCCCAAAGCGTTTTGTAGGTGCAGGCTTGCCTGGCCTCTGGGATGGCATCTCCCAGGGCTGCTCCTTTTCCTCCTGTGGCTGCCCAGGGTCACCAATATCCCCACAAGCCCAGAACAGTCTTTTGAAGGCCAGTTTGCCTGGTCTTCCATTAGTCCCCTCCGGGTTCTATCCCTGTGCTCCCTGGGGCGGGGTACAGTCCCAGGAGAGTTCTGCAACACAGAGCAACAGAGGGCAGAGCTATGACCCAAGGGGAGCACAGGGCACTCAGATCTGAGGCTCTGCCAGGAACTGGCTCTTCCTGCCTCCAGGTTGACAGTGCCCTAGGCAAGGAGTCCAGCGGAGCGCTTCATGTGTGTGACTTTGGTCATCCCACTGTGCTTTTCCAAGACCGTCGACTCTTTCATGTGGAAGATGACAAGAACATCCATGCCTTGGGGGATTGTGGGGACAACACAAAGCCACATGGATGAAGAACTTAGGCATTCCCTTTAAAAAAATAAAACAGGTGGAAGATCATCTTTAGAACTTTCTCAGTGTTATAAGCTTGGGAAAAAAAATGCAGGCTCCTATAACTCCACCACCCAAACAATAATAGTCATCATAATCTGGTGGCTTTTGTTTCAGAGGACTTTGGGGGAAATTAGGAATCGAGGGTCTTCTCATTGTCCTGATATCACTACAGTAAACGTGGTGTTGAGCTGGCGCTGTCTTGGAGCTTCACGCTTGTGCTAAGCGTGGACAGTGTGGCAGGTGAGGGACAGTGCAGGGACACAAGTGCATGAACTCCTGCTCAGGACCCCGTGGGCCCATCGAGCTCACTTCTTGCGGCACCTTGGGCATAGCTGACTGCTCACACCAGATGTCAGCCATCACCCATGTGTCTACAAGGTTAGATCATCCGGGCTCCTGCAGCAGGTAAGTGGTAAGAACCCTGCTGTTAGACCCAGGTAAAGGCCAACTAAATGTGGCTGATGACACTATATTTTTATTGCAATGTCAGGGTCAAATGGCTACATAATGGGTACATATGACTTTGTAAGTCTCACTCTAATGCTTTGCCCAGTGAGGCAGGACTTCATCTTGGACAAGCAGAAAAACATGATCATGAACCTGAGATGTCTTCTATGGGAACTGGAAGTGCCAATCCTATTATCTTCTGATAGGCTTCCCATAGCACATTACTGTCACATCTGCTGTCTCCATGGGTCCTGGGTTCCTCCCCTTCCCCAGTAGCCCATCTCCTGCAGACTGCTTGTTGTGGACAGGCCTGTGGAGCTGGGTGGGCGGGCCCGGGGAGGGGGAGACGGGGTGCAGGAGAGGGCCTCCAAAGATGCTGAACTTGTTCCCTTGAGTTCTCCAAGGCCACCTGGAAGGGAGGACCCTGGGGCCAGGCCAGCCTTGTCACAGTCTTCCACCAAACCGTGGGCTCTGGAGACTGTGGTTAAGGGCTCCCAACTTTTTAATGTCAACTAACATGGTAGGCCATCTAATTTATTCCTCCCCGCGGCCATGATTCTCAGGTCACAGACAAGGAACTGGGAACATAGAGCTGAAGGGATCGGAACCGTCTCCATCAACTAGGGGAGCAAGGGTCAAACTCAAAGCTTGAGATATCTGAAATGCCCTTCCCAAGGGCTGGCCACGGGCAGCTCACCTGTTCTGAGTGGGTTTCCTGCTTCCACTCAGTTGATCCTCTTCCCCCTGCTTACAGCTCAGGCCTCACAACTCCGCAGTCCCTTTCTACTAGGAACTGCCCTACTGGACCGTCCCTCTCTCCGTCCCCATGCAGTCTCTCCCTCCACGTTCTACCCTCGCTCTTCTCTCTGCCCTCAATATCTTTCCCCCAGGTTCCTGCTGAGCTACTCCTTATGCTTCAAGGTTCATATTCAACTTAAAACTCCATGGAAATTTCACCAATTCACTCCAGACAAAAGTAGTCACTCTCTGTGTCTCCTCCCAGCGTCCTCCCACCTACCACAAACCATAACACACTGTGTTGTGATTATTTAAGTGACTATTTTTCGTGTCTGGAGTCTGAGTCCCACGAAAGCAGAAACCATGTCTGATATTTCCCTAGAGCCCTGGCACCTAGTGTCACGTCTTACACACAATAAGGACAGAATACAGACGTTTCCAATAGAAATGAGAAGAGGCTGCGGGAGCAGGTGAACCCTGACCTCCGCCGATGAGCTGTTCTTGCAAGAAAAATCCTCGCTGAACGATCCAGAGTCCCTCAGATGGAAGTTGCCTACTTCAGTTTCCCCCTGGAGTCAGACTCATTTTTTAAACTATTTTTTAACTGATTTATATTTGCTTATAGAAAATTATAATATATAGGAAAACAAATAAAAAAGAAGTTTGAGAGGATCTGTTCACATAGGGTATGAGAAGAGCAAGGGTGAAAGGTCCCTGCTACTCTGGGACTCGGTCCAGCTCTGCCCTCATCATGGTGATGCGGAGCCTCTCCTGAGTCCTCAGAGCCCTAGTCTGTCCACCTGTAAAATGGAGATTAAGAATACCTAGTCTTCAGATGTGTCGTGAAGATGCAATGAGGTGACAGCAGAAACTCTCATGCTAGATTGCCGGCAGAAGGCCTAGGAAGAATGTTCCTGTTATTATTCAAGCCTGCCAATCCTTTCTTTATCCAAGATTCTTATTTTATAAAGGGATCACCACATTCATGCTACTATCAACTTTACTTGCGTGATTGACTGGTTGTTGATTTTTTTTTTTTCATTTCTGCAAATTCCATATAAATTAACTCAAGTTAATGAAGACAAGTACAGTATTTTCTGAGCTACTAAATATCATCTCAAAAAGAAGCAAGGCACAGCTGTAGAAAGCACTGCGTCCTTGAAAGATACTGCGATTAAACCTCACAATGAAAGATCAGCAGATTTAACAGTGACCAAACATCTGATGAACTAAGCCTCCAAATTCCTTTTGAATGTTGCCAACTTGAAAATTTATGGCAACTACTCCCACAATTCTGCTTTCCTTTCAATTACATGTTTCTGTGTATGAAACTTTCTTGAGATAAATTTATCACGAGTCCATCCTTACACCTTGATACTTTTCTAATCTGGCTGACTTCCTGGTAACCCCTGGACCCGAGCAGGAAGAACTGTTCAGAAAAGTCTGCAGGCTTCTGAACTCCAGAAACTGACCAGATATGGTTCAGGTGACCTGAGTCAATGTACAGGTTGACCCATTCAGAATACAGCAATCACTACTTTAATAACTGAAGTTGGAACTGGGGATGTAGCTCAGTGGTAGAGCCCTTGCCTAGTGTGCATGAGGCCCAAGGTTCCATCCCCAGTACCAAATTAAAAAAAAAAAAAATTGAAGCTTGATCTATCTGTCCAGTACTATAAGCACAGCTCACAAGGACCTCTTAAATGTAAATATATATTTATTATAACACAATAAAATATTCAGTGAGTTTCTCAGTCTTGTCATTTCAAACATTTAATAACCATGAGTAGTTGTACTATACCTCTCAAATAAAGAAAACCTCCATCTCACAGGAAGTTCTAATGGAAAGTACTGCTTCAAGCTATATAAAGTTGATGTTCATGTAATGATAGCAAATTAAAGATCACAGTAACAGATAATTTTACCAAGGTTTTATGGCTTATAAGAAGACATTTTTTACATGTAGTGTATTAATGTTTAATTCTAATTATTTGTGAAAGAAATAAAATTC